TCTAAAACTTTTATTTTTAGTCCAAATATTGAACTAATTATGATTAAACAATGAAAAGAAGAATATGCAAAATTTAGCTAAGGAAAGAAACATTAATAAATTTGTTAAAATATTTGTAACTTTAACATCATACATATTAATCCGCAAAACTCACAGTATGTATTTTATGGTATTTTAAAGTAAGCAAACAATAATTTGGAACATGGTTTTAATGGAATGAAATGAGAATAAGAATTACGAGACGGGATGGCAGGGGAACATAAATTAAAAATCAAACTTAATACTCAACTGGTATGAGTTTGTGTTATGAGCACTATATAAAATAAATTTGTTTACACACATAACCTTATACGTACGTTTTTAGTTACAATTTATGACAGATACGGGACCGTAATATTTTTATTTCACGTATACGAGACGGGTTATGGGACGAAAAATTTATGACATATACAAGACGGGATAGGTTTCCTGTTCCAAAATAGTTACGCCTAGCTAATATACATGAAATAATCCAAACTAAACCGAATATGTATCCTATTTAACACATGTATTCAAACTGTTAGAAATGTTTTGAATAGTTTAGAAAATAAAAACGTAACATCACTTAACTTTTGCAACTAAATAATATCTTAATTTTATATTAAATACAATTTCACACGTACGTGTAGGTCCGAATCTTAAAATATAACTATGCACTAACGCAACTAAATTTCGTTCATTACTCTAACTTTATAATATCTATATTATTACAAAGTTCACTAACACAACAAAATATTTTATATTTTTAAAATCTATATAACAATTTCTAAAAAAAATATCTCTGCACGTACATGTGGATCTAGATCTAATACACTAAAATATACATCATAAAAACAATAAAATAATCTATATTGTATGAAAATTTGTAAGAAATGTTTTTGAAATATGAAACCCCGCACGTACGTGCGGGTCAGGATCTAGTTGTTTGCATAAAATGGAAGCGAACGAGATTGTAGCGAATTTATATTTTTCTAACTATACACTAATACTAAATCCTTATAAACTATACACAAGATTTAACTATTCTGCTGGTATCATTTGCATAAAACTAAATTATAACATTTTACTAATTAAACAAAAACTATACACTAGTTTTGACCCCAAAAAAGAAAAAAAAAAACTATATACTACAAAACTATACACTGGGATCAAAAACTAAACAAAAATTTTAATTATTCCTGAATTAATGTGAATGATTTAAAATTAAAATTAAACCTGAGGAGCGATGAGGATGAAGCCATGAGAAGAGACATGCAACATAAGCTGAGAATAAAAGGAGTTGTAGAGAAGGTAACCATGGAGGAGCATCACCACCGGATATTCTCCTTCCTCCACCGGCGTAGCCACCAACAGCTGCTTCGGCGGAGACGGTGAAGCTCGAGAAGACGGTGTTATTTTGCGGCAACGAGATGATGAGTCCAAGGTTAAGAGATTTGTTTTGTATTTGCCATCCTCAAAGGCGTTTCTTGATGAAGAAGAGGACATTTTTTCTTTTGTTTTTTACCCTTTTTTTTTTTGTGGGTTCATGAGAAAGAGATGAGTTGGAGATATTATTATAGGCAGAGAAAAAATGGTTCATAGATTTTTTCTTTTCTTTTGAGGTTAAAAAAGATTTAAAGTAAAGAAACTAAGTGGATATTTCTTTTTTGTATGTAAGAATCTCTCAATGTCTAATTCTGATATTTTTTTTTTCTTGATATTAAAATTTATATCTTAAACTAGATATGAATGGGTTAAGTAGAAATTAGCCATAGAAATGAAAAAAAATTAAATAACTAACCATGAACAACAATGATTTGTCAGAAAAGTGGAAAAATGGGTAGAAAAATCCTCACCTTTTTAAATAACATATAAAAAACCCTCACATTTTTTTGTGGGTTTTAAACCCTCATGTAATCTTAAATGGTAAAATAAACCCTATTATTCATAAACTCAATTTAAACTCAAACAAATTGTTATATTAAACATAATAAATAGAAACATTTTGATTTAGGATTTTTCTTCAAAAATTCTAGTTTACAATCTTTTTTCTAAATTGAAAATTTTTAAGTCATAATGTAAAAAAGTTAATTGTATTCGGCTGTGTTAAAAAAATTCATTAATGTCAAACCAAACAGATTTTGTTACGAATAATATACAAATTTTTATATTGAACCGAATATGAGTTTATGTTAATAAAAGTTTATTCGGTTCGATCACATAAATTTGCTAACATAAACCAAACCAAATTTTATAATACTACGAAAAGTACATGAATTTTCACATCAAAATATTTTCATCGGACAAACTAACTAAGATTTACTACTAGTTAATATTTCTATATACATATTAGGATATATTAAAAAATAATATAAATTACATATAGTTAATAATTATTTAACTATATTTTTATCCAAAATCTGAAAACTCGAAAAAAAAAATCAAGTGCTATCCTATAAATTTTTGAAGTTTATATAACATAACTTCTAATGGTAACAAAAATGATTTGCCTAATCTCAACTAAATTGTGAATGATTTTTTTTAGCGCAAAAACCTTAACTTTAGAAAGAAAAATTGCAAACTCGAATTTGAAAAAAATCATAAATTAAATTATTTTTGTTTCTTATTGTTTTAATATAATGATTTTAAGAAATAAATTGAGTTTATTAATATTAGGGTTTATTTTACCACTTATGAAAAAGTGAGGGTTTAAAAACCCACAAAAAAGTTGAAGATTTTTTACATGTTTATAGGAAAGTTGAGGGTTTTTCTACCCATTTTTCCCATAAAATTAGATGAAATGGCCTAAAAACTTTTTTTTTTCTATTTGATTTCTCTCTTCTTCTCTACCTCCAACAAATTTTATGTCGCCAATCTTTCTGTCTCTGGATAAATCTAGGCTACCAAACTCTCTCCATATCGATGGATTCTCTGTTTCTCAATTTATAAACGATCTCTCTCTTTATTTCGTCGAATTTCAATCTTTTTTGGAATCTTTGTCGTCATGCTTTTTAAGTACTCGTCATTTTCTTTTCTAACACGCTACTTCAAAATTGGTAATTGTGACAGACAAGTGACAATTTATAAGTCATTAAATGTGACGTTTTGAGACTTGTATATGATCTATTTGATCTTATTCAGCAGCCATGGAAGATATTTGAGACTATATTGAATATGATGGTCGTGTTAAAAATAACATCTAGTAAGGTCATGCATGGCACATTAAAAGTAAGGCTTTTGACTCAAACATTCAATTATAAAAAATTAGTTTGATTGTTAGATCAAAACTCGAGCATAATCTATTCTAATATCATGATAGATTGATGAGAGTTTAAGATGTACATTTTGGATGATCATGGTTTCACTAACTTCATATGGAAAACGAAAACGGTAAGACTTCACTTCTTGAGTTTATAACCTTTTCCAGCTTTTACGGATTTTTTAAATGTTTTTTTCCTTTGGCATCTAATTTCTTGAAGATTATATCTTCTTTTCTGGCGGGAAAAAATTATGGAACAGAAGTTGGGTTATATAAGAGATCATGAAAACCATGTTATATGCTGGGTTTATGGTCCATGTAATGCGGTTAACGCTCAAAGAGTGATAAACAAGTTGGATATTGAGTTTATTCCATTAGATACTTTTTTTTTTTTTCCATTAGATACTTACTATCTTTTTAAAAGAACTAGTCTAAAAAATATGTTGAAAAGGATAGATGATATTGAAAATGAGCATTGGTGCTACATTTATAACCAGCATGATGCATAGAGATACATCGCTACATTTATAACCAGCATGATGCATAGAGATACATCGCAGTCCCAAAGAAGAAAAAGCTCATTTGTCTCTCTTAAATTTATATAATATCTTATTTATAAATGCGTGTTTAAAAACATGTGGTTTTTACGAAAATGTCACACATATTATCTCCAAAATTACGTTATTCTAACAAAGAAACCTTAACTTTATTGAAAAAAGAAACCCCAAAATGTATTCCGCCCAATACATATGAATTTTTAATTTTTTCTGTTTCATCTAAATTTTATATTCGAATCGTATATCAAATAAATAGCACAATAAAAAAATAACTAATAGTTATTAGAAGAGCAAATTGAACTGGACAAAGATTTCGAATAATAATTATGATGAAAAATTAGTGTTTGTAAATTAATCAGTTTTGTTTCTTCTAGCTATATTTTTAACACGCTAGTGGTATATAGCGGAATTACTTCTCAAAATATGAAACCGTGAAAACTTGATGAATAAGTAAAAAATAGCGAAAAAGGTGAACAAGTAGTATACACGTGTGAGTTGAGTCATCATCCGTAACAGTTGACTAACATCTGTAAACGACGATTCTGAATTATGCACAAAATTGATGATTAGGGTACGATTTTTAAAATATTTGGGTAAAAATTAAACGTTGTACGGACCGAAAAAAATACTTTTTTCATTCATCTCTAATTTTCTTTTCTGTTTTTTTCAATTTCTATTTATTACTCCGTTAAAACGAAGTCACACCCTATATGTGAGATTGTTTTGGAGTTTTTAAAAATATTTAAATGCAAAAAAAACAACTGATCGGAGAGTTTAATTTTGTTTGTAAGAAAGTAATTGTGTGTTTCAGTAAGAAGTATTGGATATTTTCAGTTCAAAATTTAAAATTAGAGAGAAAAAAAATTGCAGGTCCAAAGACTGGGCTTTGTAGCTTTTTTACTGGACTTTTTCACTCTTGTTTAATTTAAAAAAAAAATGACCTGATGATATATAACATTCGAGACTTTAGTTTTCTATTGCACGTCCCAAATTAAAGACCTATGCCAATAAAGAATACAAGATTTTGGATATTTTTCCCTACCATTTTCAAAATTTTTAAATTTGAAATTTATACCTGAATATAGATTATTCTTCTATTCTAGTTCAAGTCAGATGGAAAAATATGATCCTCAGAAAATATAAAATCATAAAAACGAAGCAATGTTTGATCTTATTGTGGCTCAAAAACGGTTGTTTTATCCCCTACGAGAGATAAAAGGAAAGATTTTTTAAATATTAGAATTCAGGAACCAGAATTAATAAAAATCTAGGAGAAAACCAAAAAAACAAAAAAGAATTAGAACCAACCGTACACGTGGCTATCGTCGACGGACGAAATAAGGTCTTAGCCCTTTATATGATTGATCTTCATCACTCACTCTGATGAGTCTGAAATCGAAAAGCATTCACACAACGAAGATCACTAATGGCTCTCGAGGTCGAGGACTTAATTTGATTTTGATTCTGATTCATAGATTCTTGATTTCGATTCTGATTTTTCTGAGGCTTAAGTGATGATTGATGCAGGCATGGTTTATGGATGATAGCAATGAAGACCAGAGACTTCCTCATCATCTTAACCCGAAAGAGCTCGTCTCGTTGGATTACTTGGCAGGTTTTTTTACCAAATCTCTACCTTGAATCACTCTTACTTTGCAACCATGAAAACATCAATCTGAAATCATTCTTTATTGTATTGAGTTGAATGATTCTACAAGATACACTTATGAGGAATCTAAATCTAAATCTTCTTACACTACAGGAAATGATCAAATTTACACAAGAAAAGATTTAATAGAATCATAAACTATGCAAATTTCACTAGTAATAGTTGTGTTGTAACCAAGCGTCGTTAGCTCAACCGGTAAAGTCGTAAAGATCCTAGGCGAAGCTTAGAGGTCGCCGGTTCGAGTGACGCTTGAGACAAAACTATTACATGTTGTGGTTTTGGATCTGGTGGCTTACGGGTTTTGGCCTAGAACCATTAAAAAAAAAAAAAAAAAAAAAAGTTGTGTTTTGTTTTGTAGAGTTGGGAGTGTTGTACTGGAAGTTGAACCCTGAGAACTACGAGAATGATCCTGAACTAAGCAAGATTAGAGAAGAACGGGGTTACGATTACATGGTACGCCGATTATATCACTTTTTTTTGTATGGTGTTTAGTATTGTAACTTCATGAGCTAGAGATTAATTCTCACAAGCAAGACGTTTTCTTTAATTAATCTTCATTTTAGGATTTGCTGGATCTGTGTCCCGAGAAAGTCAGCAACTACGAAGAGAAGTTGAAGAACTTTTTCACAGAACACATTCACAAGGACGAGGAGATTCGGTACTGTCTAGCGGGAAGTGGCTACTTTGATGTTAGGGACAAGGATGACCGTTGGATCCGTATCTGGATGCAACCGGGTGATCTTATCATCCTTCCCGCCGGAATCTACCACCGGTTCACACTTGACACCAGCAACTACATCAAGGTACCAAAAGCTACTCTCAATCTCTTTCTAATTTACACAAATACACGCAAGTAAAATATTACATCTTATGTTAAAAGATTTGATTGTTGGATTGTGATGAATGGTGGTTTGGTTTTGCAGCTAATGAGGCTGTTCGTGGGAGAACCGGTTTGGACACCATATAACCGGCCACAGGAAGAACATCCGGTTAGGCAAAAGTATATAAACGGCTTAACCCACAAGTTTGGAGAAACCATTAAAGCACATTAACAAGTTGTGTATGTATATGTATTGTATACTCCTAAACAGTAAAAACAGAGCCCCCCTTCTGAATAGTTTGTTCTTGTAACATACTTTTGAGATACATCATACATATGCCTTTTTTTTATATAACATAGATTATATTGCTTAAACCTTGAGGCAACGCTGACTTTGCAAGATGATCCGCAACTTGGTTCTATTATCTTCCTGTCAAATGATGTTCGAGATCTTCAGATCTTGTTCCCCAATACTGAATTTCCCTGATCCAATTATGGATTCCAAATTTCAGAAATGTACCCTTTAGTAAACTATGTAGTTCTTGACAATCTACTTCAAATATCACTTTTTGTGGCCTTGGGTCCCACATTGTTCCATAGCCTGAACTAGTGCTTGGCAATCACTCTCCCACGCTGAGTTAACTTTTGATCCTTTGGCTTGTCCTGATCTTATAAAAAATCCTTATTTGTCACGATAGACCCATCTTGCTTGGGGCTCTGTTTCTTGATTGCCATAAAAAGCATCATAGTTGCAATTAATCCAATTTTATTTTGGTCTTGTCCAGCATTGAGTTTGCAGCTGTCCTCTCTGTGGCTTGTTGACATGCATCTAGTAGTTGCTCATGTATTCCTCTACATTCATCCATTCACTAGCATCATTCTTTGCCAAACGCACTGTTTGACTCCATGGTTGGTATTTGTGTTGGAAGACTAGAGTATTTTAACTCTTCCATAATCTCCACAGTATCCATATTGGCAGTTTTCGGATGTGCGCCAAGGGTATATCAGTCAAACTTTCAAAGGATTCTGTTTTTTCTACACAAATCTTTCAAAGGGTTCCACCAAAAATCCCATCATTCTGACTTTAAAATAAACCAACAAACCACGAAACGTATCTACTACATTCACCACAACGTGTCAGGTGCCAAAGCGAAGCTTATAAACGTTGGAGCATAGTCACGAAATTTGTAATGATAGATTTTTTTATATTCATGAAAACTTATTTGGATTGAAGACAAAAACACAAAAGTAGCATCTTCCAATGAATATATGCCACTATGATCTCTCATTTCCATTTATAGCAAATCATCTTTGTCCACATCAAAGTTAACTAATAAATAGACTTATCCAAAACACTCAAAAGCAAAAAAACATTTCTATCCAAAAGACCTAAAACCTCAGAAATATAAACACCATAAAAGCATCCTCTTGCTTCAGCTATTCACCACAACTGTTCTCTCCTCTCTCTTTTTTTTTTTTTTGGTTTGTAAAATGGAATATAACCTTCCACTTCCATTAGAGGGTCTCAAAGAAACAGGACCAGCTGCTTTCTTGACGAAAACCTACAACATAGTTGAGGATTCATGCACAAACAACATAGTTTCATGGAGCAGAGACAACAACAGCTTCATTGTCTGGGAACCAGAGACTTTTGCCCTAATTTTTCTTCCTAGATGCTTTAAGCACAACAATTTCTCCAGCTTTGTTAGACAACTCAATACTTATGTATGTAACTTCTTCGAATTTTTGTCTTCGTTCTTTGGATCTTCATTAAAATTAAATCTTTGTTTAATGATATATGTAGGGGTTTAAGAAGATTGATACAGAGAGATGGGAGTTTGCAAATGAGTATTTTCTAAAGGGAGAAAGACATCTTCTCAAGAACATCAAGAGAAGAAAGACATCATCTCAAACGCAAACGCAGTCGCTAGAAGGCGGTAGATTTCGACTGGAAGGAGAGATCCATGAGCTGAGAAGAGACAGACTGGCTTTAGAAGTAGAACTAGTGAGACTGAGACGAAAACAAGAAAGCGTGAAGACATATCTACATTTGATGGAAGAGAAACTGAAAGTCACAGAAGTGAAGCAAGAAATGATGATAAATTTCTTGCTAAAGAAGATTAAGAAACCTAGTTTTTTGCAGAGCTTAAGGAAACGTAAGCTGCAAGGAATCAAGAATCGAGAGCAAAGACAAGAGGTGATCTCAAGCCATGGTGTTGAGGATCATGAAACGTTTGCTAAAGCTGAGCCGGAAGAGTGTGGTGATGACATCGGTGATCAATTTGGAGGTGTTTTTAGTTATGGCGATGAGCTTCACATAGCTTCAATGGAGGATCAAGGACAAGAAGGAGATGAAATGGAAATGGATAGTGAAGGAATTTGGAAGGGTTTCGTGTTGAGTGAGGAGATGTGTGATTTAGGGAAACATTTTATATAATAAACTAAAGTATATTATGGGAGTTTTTTTCTTTCAATTTGTCATCTACCATTTTCACGGTAAATTACCAAATTTGAACTTAGTGACAACATCAAACTATTTCGAAATAAATTTTGGTCGGCTACAACTCACATATGCATATTTTCAAATTTTAATATGAGTTATGACGCGATGATAAGATGCATATTCTAATATAAAAAATTTTGGTTGTTTGCCACTTACATATGCATATTTACAAATTTTAATTTAAAACTAACTTTTGGGGTTGAAATTTGTATGGTTGGATATATAAAACTAACATTGAACGTCAAATGCTGTTTCAGGCCATTGTAGTCAAAATCTAGCGGATATATTCTGCATTTTTGTATATCATCAATTCAGTCACAGCACATACTTAAAAATACATATTTTAAAGAATTAACTCAAAAGTATGTTAAAGTAAAATTGTATAATATTCAAAATTCAGTTTTTAGATAATTGTATAATTCTGCACTAGATAAAACCCACACCTAAGTTGTAGTAGTTATGGACTGTTGTAGTTATAATTGAGAATTTCCAAGTATAGTAGCTACGAACTATTGTTATGAATCAAATTTATTTGATCTTACTCAGCAGCCATGGAAGATATTGGAGAGTATATTGAATATGATGATCGTGTTAAAAATAACATCTAATAGGGTTGTGTTTGACATGTTAAATATAAGGTTTTTGCCTCAAACCCTCAATTATTAAAAAAATTAGTTTGATCATCAGATCAAAACTCGAGCATAATCTGTTCTAATATCATGATAGATTGATGAGAGTTTAAGATATGAATGATGGTATTTACTCTCATAAAAATTGAGGCACAAGAAATGAATGTCATTAAACCTAATTTTTTTGAACTAATGCAGTCATAATAAAATATTTACAAATCACTAAGATTTATTATAGAATATTTAAGATATCTGCAATTCTTCTAATTATTTTGTATTCGAAAGAGAATCTTTGCAGTCCACACATTTAGCACCATATTATATGTATATATTTTCAAAAAAATATTAAAAAAGTTTGTACTTTGTAAACTCGTTCTCTTTGAACGGAACCTAAGCACGGCTCCGACCTCTAGATTATTCACCCACAAATATACTAATATTGATAAATTGAGTTTTGAAACAAAATAAAATTTCATGACTAATCATAGTTTCAAAATATTATGTTCATTTTTAGTTTTTTTTTTTTGTGACTTGTTGTTATCCACAATATATCAAAAGATCATTAAAAAACATCATATCATTTGATTAAGTCTTTTTCACATATCAAGAATATTTAGTTAGAGATAATGTCATAGAGATAATGCCATAACATTTTGAACATCTGAAGTATGGTACCCCTATGAAGATTAATGATTCCCGTAAAACCTGTAACTTTGTTACAGCTAGAGAGGATGCTATACTAGCATTTCAAATCGCTTATTTGACAACATATTCTTTACCAATCGTCTCTTAAACCACATCAAAAGAAATTTCTAGACCATTTAACGCAATGGATTCTTCAGCCTTAAATGCTATCAGTCTAACAACTTTCAATTTTCTTATTGCTTTTTACAGTAGAACCCATAGTACCAAATAAACAAGTTCTTGCAAATTCCAGATTTGGTCATGTCCATCTATATCTCTTCCGAAATTACTAACATAAATACCAACAACATAACAATTTTTTGCTTTTTAAGAAGCATATTACTATAGAAATTTCTAGTAATACCATTAGTTAGAGTCAACCGACTACCAACTTTGGAATCTATAGCGAACAAAGTTGAGAATCAATCCTATGATCCTAAATATTACTCCCGCATCCACATAGTTTCGCAAAATCAAAACCGTGGAACCGAAAGAAACTTTTCACTTTGGAATTATTTTAGGAGATGTCAAAGTCAAATAATTTGGGCCAAACTAAAAGCCCAACAAAATATAGGGCCTAGACAATTATTAACAAAATGAGTAACTCGGCCACATTTCACTCCATTGATTTGTTCAAAGACGTTATCAACAATTTTTTTATTTTCTTCTAAGTTCTAACCTTAAAGTATTTACATTTGTTGACCACATTTTTTTTCTTCTCAGATTTTCTCATTTGTCTTGAAAACTAATATTGTTACAAATACATAGCTATGCTGTCAAATTTAAAAACAAGTAAAATACCATAAAATATAATTAAATTTAGTCGGTTATACGTTTCGATCGAATCCAACCGTTGGATTGACTTTATATTTACGAGATGTTGCCTTTTCTGATCTCCCATGTGACTTTCCTCGATTTAATTTATTTTAAAAAAAATAATTAAAGAATAATCGAGTGCACGTACTCGCCACGTCATTTTCATGACTTTATTTTATAAATCTTATCATCATTTGTACCATTTGATTCTTCCCCCAAATAAAGCCTTTTTAGACGTTACTACTAAGACCATCTCCAATCGTTGGCTCTATTTCTTGCTCTAAATTTAGAGTACTCTAAAAATAGAGTAGATGTTTGCTCTAATAGTTGGCTCTATTTTTTGCTCTAAAATAAATAATGTATTTTAATATTTTGCTTTAATTTTTTATATGGTCCTATATTTTCAAAGTTTGCAAACTTTATCCACTTAGTTTATTTTGACATAAATATCTAATAAAACCATATTATTAAAAATTAAATTTTATTACAACACATAAATAGAAAATTGAAAGATTAATATATTTTTATTTAAGCATCATCATTAGTGTACTTCTCCCACAAATGATCGACTAATGCATTTCTAAGTGAAAAATGAGCTTCTTTGTCTTTGATTTGTTGATATCGAGCAAGAAATTCTTGAAATCGAGTACTTTCATCCTCCGCTAGTTCGACCTCTGGAGGTGGATCTTCTCTTCCAACTTCAATTGGTGCATTTAGATCACGCTCATCTTCGATTATAAACCGGAGTCTCTGAGAGATAATCATTGAACAAACTAGCATGAGCAGTTTCTCGATCCCGGTGGACGAAAGAACGACCTTGAACTGAGCTACCATGGATCGCATTGTTGTTTTGTTGGTTGAAGAGGTATTGGATGATCGAATTGTTATTAGCGATAGCAAGATGTATAGCTTGTTCTTCTTGTTCGAGATTATTGATCATTTCCATATTTTCATTGTCATCTGAAGAGGACGATGAGTCATGAAAATCTGATGGAAAATTGGGTGGAGTATCAAAGTTAAAATTCATTTGGAGAGATATTTTTTCAAGACGAGTAAAGAAATATGTGTTGAAATTGTATATGATTTAACATAGAGTTATAGTGGTATTTATAAAAAAATATAAGAAGTCATGGAATCAACTAGTCATAGTATTGTTAAATCTTGTCAAAATGAAAAGCATTGGGAATCTTATTATCTTTTTGACATTGTATTGTTTAGTCTTATAGTGAATTGTTAAATCTTGTCGTAGTTGATTGAGAAGTATGGGAATCTTGTTATCTTTTTATATTGTATTGTCTCATCTCATTGTGAATTGTTAAATCTTGTCATAATATATTAAAAATTATAGAAGTGATTTCTTATCTTTTTGACATTGTATTGTCTCATCTCATAGTGAATTGTAAAATGTGAGAATCTTTGAAGCACTTTATCATTGTATTGTCAAATCTTGTCATAGTGAATTAAAAAATGTGAGAATCATTCTATAAATAACATAATTGATATTCAGATCCATTCACAACATCCAACCATTCCACTATTTTCTAATACATATATTCACATTCTCTTATTTTCTTAAGTAAAATGTCTCATTCTACTGGATATTCTAAAGAAGAAGATAAGGTTTTATGTCAAGTTTATATGGAAATTTCTCAAGATCCAATCACCGTTGTTTACCAATCATCCGACCATTTTTGGGATCGTGTGGCGGAATCTTTCGAAAATGGAAAAAATCCAACTTGGAGTGAACGTTCAAAAAAATCTCTCCGGTGTCGATTACAAACTATTGAGAAAGCTATAAGAAAACTACATGCATGCATCAAACAATGTGAAAATCGACGTTCAAGTGGTGCATCAAGTGATGATATAGTAAGTATTCTATATATTTTTGTGATTTAGTTATCATTGTTTTAATATTTATTTATTTATTTATATTTTTAATTCTATGTAGTTCAATCAAGCCAAAGAAATGCTAATGCAAGATCAAAATTTTAAATCTGGTTGGAAATTCGATCATGTATGGAACATTATTAAAAACTTTGAAAAGTTTAAAGATGTTGCCACTCCGGCTAGAAAAGTCTCAAATCTATGCGGCTTCGGGTACACATCTTCTGAGTCCGAAAATCCTACCCCCGATTCAGTTTCACAAGCGTCTCCAGGTTTGTCTTCATTTTCTCTTAACTTAGATGACGAAGATGACATTATTGGCGGATCTCCATCTCAACGACCAAGAGGAGTGAAAAAATCTAAATTGAAAAGAAAAAATGACGATCAAACATCGGATGTTATCAAGACTTTGGAAGAAGGGAATAAACAATTCGTGGAGCAACTAAAGAAGACAAGTGCACAAAGACAACAATATTTGGAGATGCAAAGTAAGAGTTTAGCATTGAAAGAACTAAGAGAAGAAAACAAAGTTTTATATCGAGACTTAAATTCCATTGAAGATCCAAATCTCCGTGCATATCTTCAATCTGAACAAGCAAAAATCTTAAAGAAAAGACTTGATCAACAAGCTCCGTCGGCATCTACTTCCTTTGGACAATATTTCGATGATCTTAGTGGATCTGGAAACGACCTACCGGATTATTAAATCACTAGTTTATGGTGTGTTAATTTTTTTTTTAACGGCAAGTTTAATTTTGTTTATGTACTTTTAGTTTATCATTTGTGTTGGTATTTGTGTTTGTATTGTTTTTCTAATTTAATATATGATTGTTATATTTTTAAATTTCAATTAATTTAGTAACTATGATATTAATATAAAATTATGTATGTATATAATTTAGTTATATAATTTTGTTTAGGTAAAAAATGATACTATATGAAAATTGAGGGTGTCCTTTGTAAATAAAAAAGTTGTGCTCTAAAAATAGAGATATGAATAGTGTTGCTCCAAATTTGGAGCAACACTATTGATATCTCTATTTTTAGAGCAAGATATAGAGCACCATTGGAGTGATTTTGCTCCAAATATAGAGTTTAGAGCAAGATATAGAGCACCATTGGAGATGCTCTAAATAAATTAATTCCTCCATCTTAGGAGAATTTTCTGTAATTAAGCGACAACTTTGTAATAATATGCACCTAATATTTACACAAACGTCAAGAAATAAAAGTTTGAATATTTTTTCAGATATGTTTTTAAAATCGTTGGTCTATTTGATATTATCACTACCAAAAATATCCGGCATGCACAATGAATGTAATTACGTAATTAAGTCATATATAACACGTTTACTGTTTTTAATGACTAAATTTAAAAAAATTCTTATCATAAAAGTAGTTATTACATTCCAAAATTACTAGTAACATTGCTATAAATTGCGTTACTATTTATCCAAACAATTACTATTTTTACTATTGCATTATCAAAGTTTTAAAAACTTGAAATCAGATAATTTTGATTCCGTTTAAAGATATCATTATCCATCTAATTAACTCCATTGTCTATTTTTATTAACCTCATTGATCACAAAATGAGAAAGAAAATATCCAAAACTATCTTATCCTCTTGAATCACGACACGTGTCCATAACGCAAGGGTAAAATCGTAATCACACATACCCTACAAAGATTCCTTTATAGCCTTCCCGGTCTTTCTCACTTTTTCCTCATCATTTTCTCATTTTTTCTTCTTTCTGCAAATTTTTATTTTCCCGGAAAATCATCACTGAGAAAAAAATGCTCGCTGTGTTTGAGAAGACGGTGGCGAATAGCCCTGAAGCTCTACAGAGTCCACACTCGTCTGAGTCTGCTTTCGCTTTGAAAGATGGATCTCTCGCGACTCATTTCGCTTCCGTGAATCCTAACTCCGTCACGCTTAACTTCGGATCTTCTGGATTTGTTGCTTATTCTCTTGATAATCATGATCCTCGTGTTCCTAGGTTTATTTCAAGTCTTCTTCTCTTTGATTCTGTTCTTGATCTAGTCAATCTTTGATGTTTCTTTGATTTCGAAGTGAAAGATTTTGAATCTCCATTGTTTCGGTTTTGATTTCGTTAGTATCGATTTGATATGCGATAATGTTGGATTTATTCGCTATTTCGCTGCAGATTTACTTGGATTGACTTTTTTTTGGCTTGCGATCTAGGATTTATGGTTTTTGGTTTGCTTGTGTTAATGATGATGAACAGTAACTGGAGATTTTGCACGCTACATTAGTTGATGATGATGATAACAGTAGCTAGTGATTTTTGGTAGAATCTGGGACTAGAGATTCTACAAGTTCCATTAGATGATGATTTTATTGTTCTTGAGCTATTATTGTTCTTGAGCTATTGGAAGAATCCGGAACTAAAGAGTCTTTAAACGCTCTTTGTTGTCGATTTAAGATGATTGAAAAGATCTACACTGGATTTGAGTAATTTGTGGTTCTTGATTTTGTAATTTGGTTTCTTTTGAATTTTGACAGATTATTTGCGGTGGTGGATGACATTTTCTGTCTCTTCCAAGGACACATTGAGAACCTACCGTTTCTGAAGCAGCAGTATGGGCTGAACAAAATCACAAACGAGGCCATCATTGTGATTGAGGCATACAGGACATTACGTGATCGAGGTCCTTACCCTGTGGACAAAGTTGTCAGAGATTTCCATGGAAAGTTTGCGTTTATCCTCTTTGATAGCGTCAAGAAAACTGTCTTTGCTGCTGCTGTAAGTCCAGAAGCTTCGATGTCCATTTTTAGCCCGTATATATACATTCTTCACGAAACTGGATATGATTGTTTTCGATGTGCAGGACGCAGATGGGAGTGTGCCGTTCTTCTGGGGAACCGATGCTGAAGGGCACCTTGTTCTTTCTGATAACACAGAGATGGTGAAGAAAGGTTGCGCCAAATCTTATGGTCCTTTCCCAAAAGGTACCAACTTTACTCTTTTGATAATCTGGTCCAGGACTTTGGTTGGTTTGTGTGATTGTTGTAGAGCAAATCACTAAATGATTTACATGGTTATTTTTGGTGTTTGAAGGTTGCTTCTTTACATCATCGGGAGGATTGAGGAGCTTCGAGCACCCAAAGAACGAGTTGAAGCCAGTGCCGAGAGTGGACAGCTCGGGAGACGTGTGTGGTGCAACTTTCAAGGTTGACGCTGAGACTAAGAGAGAGGGTACCAAAATGCCTAGAGTCGATAGCTCCCAAAATTGGGCCGGTCATATCTAAACCGGAATCATACAAAAAATCACAAGCTCAGCATCTTCCTCTTGTCTTGATCCCTCTTTCGTTACATGTTTTGAGTTACATTGAGACAATATTCACACCACAATGTTCTCTCTCTCTATTACGTTTATGTACATGTTTGGGGTGGGATTTGGAAAGGATGTCAGAGTTTTGTGAAACTTTGGAACCATGAGACTAGACTTTTGTTTCTCTGTTTGCGTTTCTTAAATAATTAAATAAATAAGTTTTTGTTTCATGATTTGTTATGATTTTATGAGCAACCGAAATCAAATTTTTATTTATTAATCAAGGAAAACGTAAATCAATTCTGTGATCTTTTATTTTATTTTTTTTCATTTCCTACCGAAAAAAGAATTCAGTATCTTTTATTTTTATCTTGGTCACATCGTTTAACCAAATAGAAAAATTGAGGAAAACAGGAGGAATTTAGTCATATAAGTTAAGATAATTTACATAAATGGCCCCAAAAAGTGTTTTCTTCTAAAAATAACCCCATATTTCATAATTTCAGAAATAGCACATAAAATTTTTAATTAAACATTAACTAAAACAGAAAATAGAAAATTTGAGAGACTAACCCTAAACGCCTCCGTCAGTCTCGTCTTCTCTCATCTTAGACCAACGATCTCGTCGCCTCCGCCGATAAGTTTCTAATTCGATCTTGTTCCCCGACGATTACGAGTTTGTTCCCAGACGATTGTCACCCACTTGTGTCAATCAGGTTTGCCCTTTCTCTACTTCTTCGTCTTTGTTCATCTCTGAGTTCAGTATCACAAAAAGCTGCGATTTTGATGATCCTGAAGAGCTTCAAAGTAATGGGTTTCTGCGAATTGTTACTCTTGTTAACTCGATTTAGCTGTGTCTTGTTAAATTTGGAATCTTTATCTCGTTTATGAATGATTTGATTTTGGGTTAGCTTTGAATGTAGTGCTCTTTTTTTTGAATGAATCTAATGTCAGCAGAATGTTTGAGTTTTTGACGCATGTGTTGTTTATAGATTTTGTTTCATTCAAGATGATTCTTAGATTTAAATTTCTAAGTTTGAAATTTGGTTGTGTGTGATTCAAAATTTGAAAGCGTTTCTTTGTGTGTATAATGGAGGAGTAAACATAACAGTGTGTATAATTCAACGCTCAAGTAGTCAAATGGAATAATTGAGTTTCTTCTTCCTTAGAAGAAATAAGTGGAACTTTGTAGCTGTCGTAGTTAGATTCAACAGAGGGAGGGATCATTAACAACTCTGTTTTTTTAGTGGGGAGATCATTTTTTAGTTTACCATATTTACCACTTGTTCTGATATGTTTTTAGTATAAATTTTGCTGCAGTTCTAGTCTTAATTTCTTCTTGTTGAGGTCTTTTGCTTCTTCTTTTGTATTTGCAAGCAAGAGCGAGGCTTGTTTATTTTTGTCTTTTTAAATTCTTTAAGATTATTGAGCATAAGAGAAGTATTATCATCATCATTTGCATCTCTGGATTCTTTTAATTCTTTAAGAATTTTTTTTCTTGTGAAGATTTTTGTGATCTATTGGAATGATACATATACAAGCTAAGACAGTTTAAGACTAAGACTGTTATGTTTAAGACTAAGACAGTTTAAGACTAAGACCGTTTAAAACTAAGACAGTTTAAGATTAGTTTATCACTTTAGGTGAGTTTAATTTTTGTCACAATTTGAGAGATATATCGTCACATAGTTATAGATTCAAGTTTGTGATATGAAGATATGAATATACATTCTTTACTTGTTTTTGTAGTGTTATTGTCTGTTCTCATTGCTTGTTAGAGTTGTTTTAGTTTGCATTCTAGAATGGTCTTCCTGATTCGGGAAGGATTTATAGTAATTCGGGAAGGTCTTCCTGATTCGGGAAGGACTTATAGTAATTCGGGAAGGTCTTCCTGAATAAATCTGTTTACTGATTTCCCTTAATTTTGATTGCAGGAAAATGGGAGATTCGTTTCCAACAGATGTCACACTGCCAAAGCTTCTGTACAATATTGGACAGGAGCCAAATTCAGATGTTAAGATAAATCAATGTGCAAGATATGAGTATATCGAAGAAGTACAATGCATCCTCTCTCCTACAGAGTTTCAGAGAATCGGAGAATCGTTTTTAGGACCCGCTCTGAAGGCTACATCAAGGGGATTAAATCTGTCAGGCAAGTTGATCCATTGTTTCTTGGCGAGAAGCTTAACGACAGTGAAGAAGAATGAGTTGTAGTTTCTATTAGAGAATTTCATATGGTTACTGGCTTGAAATGTTCTCCCCAAGAAACTAATGAAAATGTGGAGGAGAATCACTATGGTTGGGCAAATACCAGTCAGCGACACACATCTGAGGAGCTGTTAGACATATTGAGAGAGACTAATAGAGATTCAGGAGACGAGAGATTCCTTCTTGCGATGCTCCTGTTGACGGAGTGTATCTTTCTCAACATGTTTAAAGGCAACAGATTCCCTGCAGCTCACCTTAAGAGAGCTCAAGATGTGCATCAATTCCTCAACTATCCATGGGGGATAGATGCTTTCAAGGTGTTGTTGTCCTCGAACAAGTCTAATGTGCCATGTAAATTGTTGAAGGGTAAGTATGATATCCATGGGTATCTGTTGGCTCTCCATCTCTGGATTCAAGAGTCCATTCCAGTGTTGCAATCAAGCTTAAGCAGAGTGAGTTTTCTCGAGCCTCGGACTACATTCATTTATGAGAGGTACACGAGTACAACAACTCCACAAATTCCGCAAATAGAAAACTTGGAAGCTTTAAACAATGTGAGTTCATTCTCTGCTTTTAAATTAATGGAAGAACTTAGAGAAATTCAGGAAGTATTTATAGTAATTCGGGATGGTGTTCCTAAATATGTTGTTGATGATATAACTATTTTAAATTCATGAAGACTGATGTCCGAGGCTATATTTTAAATATGATATACAGTGTTTAGGAACATATTTCCTGAACTTGTTATATTTGTTGCATAGAGATAATGTTGACAATAGAGTGAATGAAAATGATAGAGCTGATGAACAAGAAGACAATGCTCAGCATGAGGTGAGTTGTGGTTTATAGTAATTCGGAAAGGATTTAAACTGATTCGGGAAAGTCTTACTAAGTTGTGTACAAATTATTAAGTCCTCATTAATTGAAGTCTCTACTGAATTTTGTAGGATCCAAGTTTGCAATGAGATAGAGTGAATGAAAATGATATATCTGATGAACAAGAAGACAATGCTCAGCATGAGGTGAGTTGTGGTTTATAGTAATTCGGGAAGGATTTATACTAATTCGGGAAAGTCTTCCTAAGTTGGTTATAGAGTATTAAGTCCTCATTAATTGAAGTCTCTTCTGAATTTTGTAGGATCCAAGTTTGCAAAGAGATACTGAAGATGGTGGTGTGAATGCTGAGAATCGTGAAGACTCGAGACCAACACCCGCTCAAGACTATAGTGGCGGCTTAATATTGATGGAAGAGGTTGAGGTTTTTTACAAGAACGAATGGAATAAGGGAGAAGTCCGAGCAATTATGACAGACTCCATCCATGTCCGTATCGACGAGTTGGACCAAGATTATGTGTTCACCCTAGAGAACGTAAGCTAACGGAAGCTACTCGTAGAGATGGGAACAAGAACATATCTTGAAAGATAAGGAGAAGGGTGAACAGATCCTGAAAGAGAGGGAGTAGGGTGAACAGAGCCTGAAAGAGAAGGAGAAGGGTGAACAGAGCCCGAAAGAGAAGGAGAAGGGCGAAAAAAAAAACTTAAAAGTATCAAGACACCTTCGTTTGATCTGAAGATTGTTACTCCACCGGATGAGAAAGCTGACGAGAAAGGCAACAAAAGGCAAGATGATAACACCTTGGCTAATAATCACCTAAAAAGGATGAAGAAAAGGAAACTCGAATCATGTGGTAAAGATCCAGCAGATTCCAAGGTATATCAATCGTGTCGCTACTCCATCACAACATCCATCACAACCTCTTGTCACTCCTTATAAGCTGTTGTTATCTGATGTTGTGATGGAGTAGCGACTCGATTGCTACGCCTTGGAATCTGCTGGTCATTATCACGTGATTCGAGTTTCCTTTTCTTCATCCTTTTTAGGTGATTATCAGCCAAGGTGTTATTAGCTTGCCTTTTGTTGCCTTTCTCGTGAGCTTTCTCCTCCGGTGGTGTAACAATCTTCAGATCAAACGAAAGTGTCTTGATACTTTTAAGTTTTTTTTACCCTTCTCCTTCTCTTTCGGGCTCTGTTCACCCTTCTCCTTCTCTTTCAGGCTCTGTTCACCCTTCTCCCTCTCTTTCAGGATCTGTTCACCCTTCTCCTTATCTTTCAGGATATGTTCTTGTTCCCATCTCCACGAGTACCTTACGTTCTCTAGGGTGAACACATAATCTTGGTCCAACTCGTCGATACGGACATGGATGGAGTCTGTCATAATTGCTTGGACTTCTCCCTTATTCCATTCGTTCTTGTAAAAACCTCAACCTCTTCCATCAATATTAAGCCGCCACTATAGTCTTGAGCGAGTGTTGGTCTCGAGTCTTCAGGATTCTCAGCATTCACACCACCATCTTCAGTATCTCTTTGCAAACTTGGTTCCTACAAAATTCAGAAGAGACTTCAATTAATGAGGACTTAATACTCTATAACCAACTTAGGAAGACTTTCCCGAATTAGTATAAATCCTTCCCGAATTACTATAAACCACAACTCATCTCATGCTGAGCATTGTCTTCTTGTTCATCAGCTATATCTCTTTCACTCTATTGTCAACATTATCTCTTTGCAACAAATATAACAAGTTCAGGAAATATGTTCCTAAACACTGTAAAACCAAGAAAACTCACCTCATCATGTTGATCATTATCTTGTTGTTCATCAACTCCATCCATTTGATTCATTCTATTGCCAACATTATCTTCATTCTTTTTTTCTGAAGAATTGATATCCTGGGTTACCTCCTGTGTTTGGTTCTCAGCATTTATCTCATCTTTGCTCATCTTCAAATCCAAGACAGTAATTATTTTAGTTAGCTTTTTTACAAAGTTTAAGATTTAAGAAAGCTGTAGAAATCTTTATTTTACCTCATTTGTAGAACTAATCTTCTGGGTTATCTCCTCTGTTTGGGTCGTCTTCTGAGTTTGGGAAGTTTGAGTAAGAGGGACAGTATGTTGCTCAGTTGTTTGATCAGGTGTTTGCTTATCTGCTTTCTCAGCTGGTTGTTCAGTAGCCTTAGGAGATGGGGGATTGTTGAAAAATAAATCATTTTCTCTCTACAAGAAAAAATCAAACCGTTCATGTAAATTCATTGCATTATCTATAACATCAGTGAAGTTTTTTAAGAAGCTTCTGTTACCTGATCTTTTCTTTTTCTTGCACTAAGTATTTTCAGCTTCTTCTCCATCTTTGATAAGCGTTGATTTGTTGATTTGAACTCATCTTCAACTAGCTTGTATAGCTTGTCAAGCTTCTCCATAAGTGACTCGCCTGATGAAGATGGTTTCACTACCTCCTTGTTATAGAACATATAAGATTTCGTAGCAACCTCTTCCATCACAACTCCAACGTCAAGTGATCCTCTTCGCCAATCTTTAGCTTTCATTTTGTAGCCTTTGGACAGAAGGTCGACCAGCAAACTCAATTCAGGATCTTCTTCGTCTTCCAATGAGACTGTATCTTCAAGATCATCAGGTATTGCAGGTAAGACGCAAATCACATTCAACTACACAGAAACAGAATGTTCAGGCATCAGGACATTAGTCTTCATGAATTTAACATAGTTATATCACCAACAACATATTTAGGAACACCATCCTAAATTACTATAAATCCTTCCTGAATCCGGAAAACCATCCCGAATTACTATAAATACTTCCCGAATTTCTCTAAGTTCTTCCATTAAGTTAAAAGCAGAGAATGAACTCACATTGTTTAAAGCTTCCAAGTTTTCTATTTGCGAAATTTGTGGAGTTGTTGTGCTCGTGTACCTCTCACAAATGAATGCAATCCGAGGCTTGAGCAAACTCACTCTGCTTAAGCTTGATTGGAATGGACTCCAGAATCCAGAGATGGAGAGCCAACGGATACCCATGGATGTCATACTTATCCTTCAACAAGTTAGATGGAACATTAAACTTGATCGAGGACAACAGCACCTTGAAAGCATCTATCCCCCATGGATAGTTGAGGAATTGATGCACATCTTGAGCTCTCTTAAGGTGAGCTGCAGGGAATTTGTTGCCTTTATACATGTTCAGGAAGATAGACTCCGTCAACAGGAGCATCGCAAGGCAAAATCTCTCGTCCCCTGAATCTCTATCAGTCTTTCTCAATATGTCTAACAGCTCATCAGATGTGTGTCGCTGCATGGTGTTTGCCCAACCATAGCGATTATCCTCCACATTTTCATCAGCTTCCTGTGGAGAATACTTCAATCCAGTAACCATATGAAATTCTCTATTAGAGAATTTCATAGGTTGGCCCCCAAAATGAAACCACAACTCATTCTTCTTCACTGTCGTTAAGCTTCAAATGGATCAACTTGCCTGACAAATTTAATCCCCTTGCTGTAGCCTTCAGAACGGGTCCCAAAAACGATTCTCCGGTTCTCTGAAACTCTGTAGCAGAGATGATGCATTGTACTTTATCGATATACTCATATCTTGCACATTGGTTTATCCTAACTTCTGAATTTGGCTCATGTCCTATATTGTACAGAAGCTTTGGCAGTGTGGAATCAGTTGGAAACGAATCTCCCATTTTCCTGCAATTTAAATCAAAGGAAATCAGTACACAAATATATTCAAGGAAGACCTTCCCGAATTACTATAAGTCCTTCCCGAATTACTATAAATCCTTCCCGAATTACTATAAGTCCTTCCCGAATTACTATAAATCCTTCCCAAATTATTATAAATCTTTAGTGAGCAATGAAACCAGAATCACATTGTGAGAATCAATAATAAAAAAATTAATACACAACACCAAAGTCAAACAGATAAACAACAATTTCAATTGAACATAGACATGATACTCCTTTAAGAAGAGATCGAAGCAAAAAGATTCCAAATTTCATCAAGAAACTAACTAAGAACAAAAGTCAAAAGGCTAGGAGATAACACAGATCACAGAGAGATCATTACGTACCACACCAAGTACCCACAAAACCAAATCGTTGGAGACAAAATAAGAATTTGAGAAGTCATGCAACACAGTGAACAAACAAAACCTGAAAAATCTATCCATGAGCTAAATCTCACCCATCAAAAATCTTAAGCTATCAAATGTTAGATTCAGTTCAATCAACAAGCCTAACAAGAACTAGAAACTAAACAGGACACTACACTATGAACTTAGGCAAGCATAATTTGGAAAAATCTGATTTTTAAGGCCTAAAAACTCAAACTTTCTAAGAATTAATACTTTAAGAGCATGGGATAAGACAAGCAAAAGAATTTGAGAAATCATGCAACCCAGTGAACATACAAAAGTAATTGTTTCCTGACAATTTTTTGAGAATGAGACATCTTAAGCTATCAATTGCTAGACTAGTTCAATTAATGAGCCTGAGCCTGAGCTCATGGATTACTTAACATAATCCATGAACTAATCTCACCCACAAGAATCTTAAGCTATCAAATGTTAGATTGAGTTCAATCAACAAGCTTAAACTAGAAACGAAAACAGGACACTACACTTTAAACTTAGGCAGGCATGAGGCAAGCAAAAAAAAATTGAGAAGTAATGCAACACAGTGAACATACAAAACCTGAAAAATCTATTCATGAGCCAAATCTCAACCATCAAGAACGAAACATATTAAGCTATCAAATGTTAGATTCAGTTCAATCAACAAGCCTAACAAGAACTAGAAACTAAAACAGGACACTACACTATAAACTTAGGCAAGCATAACTCTAAAAATCTGATCTTTAAGACCTAAAAACTCAAATGTTCAAATGTAAACTTAGGCAAGCATAACTCAGAAGTAACTTACCATGCAGCTTAATGGCCAAATGTTCGAGGCAGAAGAGACTACACCAACAAAAAAAAAAGTAAAAATTTCTCAGTTTCCTTCACGGTGCATAAAGAAGAAGACGATTGTAAAATTGGTGCATACCTTGATTTATTCCGTTAAGAATTGGCGAAACAGAGAAGAAATCGTGAAGGAATTCCGGTGGAGGCGTTCGAGATACCGGCAGAGGAGATTGGGTTGAGGAAGGGGAAACGTGATTGGGTTGAGTCGACTAGATTAGGTCGACTGGGTTGAGTCGAGGAATCGTGGAGGCAGTGGTTCAAGATACCGGAGGAGATCGAATTTTCCGACGATCGGAGGCAACTATGGAGAATCGGAGGCAAATAAGAATCGTCGGGTGAAAGAGATGAGAATTATGTTTTCTCTATTTTCTATTTTTCAATTAATGGTTAATTAAAAAGTATTGGGTGCTATTTCTGGAAATTATGAAATATAGGGTTATTTTTGGAAGAAAAAACTTTTTTGGGACCATTTGTGTAAATTGCCCTTATTATTATTATATTTACAATTTATACCTTAAAAACTAATTAATTTGATATACAATATAAGATCACTCATACTTTGAGGCAATTTTGTTAGATAGAGCTGGTGAAAGTGAGAATGAAAAAAAAAAAGAAAAAGAGAAAGAAAGTGAGAATGAAAATGATGGTCTAAATCTTTGAATTTAAGCGAAATCTTTACTTTTTAGTTAAAATGTTTAATATTTAAGATTTGGATGTGTGTTATTTCAAACATTCATTTATTTAATATGATTTTGATGTAAAACCCTCAAATTTATGAAAATGTGAGAGTTTAAAAACCCACAAAAAAAAGTTGAGAGGTTTTTATATGTTTTAAGGAAAAGTGAAGATTTTTCTACCCATTTTTCGTTTATTTTATATACGTAAAACAAATTCGTTTCCGGCATATCCGTTTCTGTTTCCATGTAACATTATTATTTATTTATTTTGCATCAAAATCTTAATGACTTGTTTTGCTGATGAAGTAATTATACAGTGCATATATATAATATATTTTATGTAAAAATTATAATATTTCAAATATTGAGATTTAAATTCATATTCAACCTTTAGAAAACATTAGAAACAAAGAAGAGATGCTTAAAATGTTAGGGAGTTATATTATTTTAGAGTATTCTGATAAAAAAAAATTAGAAAACTACAATTTTTTTTTGTCGCTTACGCTCTAATACATGCTTAAAATATCACAAATATCATTTATGATAATTCTCTTAAGCTAGTCGTCACACTTTTATTGCGTTTCCGAAAGAGTAGTTGCTTTGTACGAAGAACTATCTTTTTGCAACTCAAACAAAAACAATTCCTTTTTACATCATTTGATCTCTTCCGCGAATATGACATCGAAAATGTGTTGCACTGCACAGCAGACATCATAGAGAAGCTAAAATCAGACTCAGACCTTTAGAAAGATTTACATTTAAGAAATGTACAAACATTTTCATTTATTCATAACAATCGAAGAAGAATGTGAGTTTTTGTCAATGTGATACCTTCGTCTTTTGGGATATTAGGCTGATCAACCACGAGGTATTGTAGCGCGTTTAGATCACCAGGACTATACAACAGTAGACAAGAACATAAGAGTAATTTTATAAACTTGCCAAAGTTTGAACAAGGCAATATTCTCAGTACCTTGGTTTCAGGATAATACATGAAAGTGCCGAAAGAATTGAAGATTTGAGATGGTATCTGCGAGATTTTTAAAGCACAAAAAAGGTTAAAAATGATGATTATAACTAAATAACAAGCAGATTATGTTTGCTTACTCTGATTGATGCATGTCATAAACAATAGAAAGTCCCTCCAAGCAATCAGCAATGCAAGGTTTTACTCCAATTCGTTCCTCTACTCGCCTCTTGCTCGATTCAACTTCGAGTAACTGCAAACCATCTCGATGTAGCTTCTCAAATGTCAAAACACAGCCCCAGAATTCCTCCCTGACATCATCACCCATATATTATACATTTAAACAATCTTTACTTCCTACTGGAACATGAAACTCTCATGCAGCAACATTCTAAAGTAACACCTTTCTTTCCTGCATATACTTGCAGAACGTCTTTGCACAAAAAAAAAAACTTACAGAACGTTTTTCATGGAACGCAATAGAGACTCCAGTTGACCCATCTGTTGTTGCACAACCGCGTCTTCAATCCCTTTCAGGCATCTCAAAGCTCCATAGCTCCCATGATTTTGCATATCCTATTCTCAAACCAAAAAATCACACATACAGTTTTGAAATTTCGGACAGCAAAAACACAAATATTCAAGCTACCTGTAATCTCTGAGTAATAGAAGAAGCGTTCCTGAAGAGGAAAACCCATCGAACTTGAAGTGCCTCCCACTTTTCCATCTCCTCCTTGGCTTTTCTGAACTTCTGCTGCCATTTCCTAATTACTGCCTCCATTCAAAACACTCAACGAATTTCGCTATTGCAACCTAGAAAGAGACAAGTATACCTTTGGGTGTAAGCCACCCACCAAAAGTAATTAAGATAAGAATGCAAACCCGATCGCTATTGAATATATATTCTCTATTACAATTTCATAGACTAAAGATGTGATTAATGTACATCAAGTTTTCACAACTACAAAGACTAGGATCATATTCTAGTTTCCTTGTGAACATACAACAAAACATAAAGATCAAAAGTGCCATCCATTTGATCGCCAGAATCTGCGAGCATTTTCTGTAGCACGAGCCTTTTTGATCTTCAGAAACAGCTTATAAGCCAATTCTGTTTTGTTTGAAGTCATTAATTTACTGCTAAGCCTACTATAAACAAAGCGGTTTGGGCAAAATCCTTTACGCATGGCTTCTTCCATCACAAGCACAGCATTCTCTAGATGCCCAATGATACAGAGCCCATCGACAATATACTCGTACACTTCCACGTCAGAAGGATATCCACACTCTTGCATTTCATCCCACACGTTCAACAGCATCCCACATTTTCCAAATCTTGATAGCCGCTTAAGCAACAGCTTATATGCGCTTTCTGATATCCTACACCCGGCTTTTCTTGATTTCTGATAGATAACCATTGCAGCGTGTGGTGGACCGTAGCTGCAAAGCGGCTTGAGGAAAGAGGTAACGAGTCCTGTGGTGGGAAGAATCCCTCTTGACAACATCTCTTCGAATATCTCAAGCGCATCAGAAACCTTACGGCCTTTAATGAGCCCAGAAACAAGCTTGGAATAGGTTTCCAAGTTAGGTTCACATTCCTCATCCAGCATCCTTCGGTAGTACCTCATAGATTCATCAAAATCTCGAGCAGATATGAAATTACAGATCATAGCGTTGTAAACATTTGCGTCTAGAACACTACCCTTGTGTTTCATATTATCAAAGATCTCAACAGAATCATTGATACGACCAGCTCTTCCCAACCCTTCAATAAGGTGGCTGTAAGACAAACAGTCGGGAACGAATCCACCCTCCACCATCTCCTTCAAAACCTTTTCCATTCCTTCAATCTCACCGAGCTTCGACCACCCACTAATCATAATGTTATAACTACAACTGTCAAAAGGTATTTTTCCTTTCTTTGCATTAAACACCGAGTTAGCAGCACTCACATGTGAACGCTCACACAGACACCGCAACAATGCATTGAAAGACTCAGTGCTACATTTCACCCCATAACTTTCACTTTCCTCAAACAACTCGATCGCTCTACGCACATAATGAGCCCTAACAAAGCTATCCATAGCAATGGTTAAGCACCGCAGATCAGGATTAACCCCTTCACACACCATTCCCCGTAAAACATCCATCATAAAAGAGAAAAACTTCCTCCTTCCTAACGCTCTTAGAATCACACAATAGCTATCAACATCTTTACTCACACCCGGCTCACGAATCGCCCAATTAAAAAACGTAACCATCGCTTCACCGCTTAAATTCCCTCGATTCAAAACATCGGACACAATGTCAATACTCAAATCAATACCAAGACTAGACAAACAATTCTGTATCGCAGATTTCCCTTTCAATTTCTGAAGAAACACACCTCTAAGTTTCTCCGCCGGCGACAAAAACGAATCAATAGATACTTGATTCCTTGAGCTATAATTGTCTTCCTTCACCAATGAGGATGAAATTGGAAGCAATGAAGATAGTTCAGCCAGAACATAACTCTCATCAAGATACAATGATTCTGAAGCTGTGCAAACAGTGCGATTGAGTAACGCACCCGAAATTAGGGTTTCTACATCACTACGAAGAACGCGACGCAGTGATTCCTTAACTATGTTCCATCTCTTAAGCATAACTATCTCTCGATTCCAAAGCTAAGAATAAAATCACTGGAAATATAGAGAGAAATGTAAATGAGTGATTAAAGAGAACTTACGAGGAAGATTGAAGAAGCTTTGCTTGGGATTGAATCAATGGAGAAGAAGAAGAAGAAGAAGAAGAATCGTAATAGAAGAAAGTTACGACCCGGTTTAGTTAGGGTTTAATGTCAAACTTGTATAATTACTTCGGTTTACGGTTTATGTTCGGTTCAATAGATAACCAGGGGAAAATTTCCTATACCACTGATTGGGTTTAGAACTTACTTTAGAATGAGAACAAAGTACAAAACAAAACAAGCATGTGCAAGAACCTAAAAATCTGTTGTTAGATAAGGAGACAGATCAAAATTTTCCAAAACCATTTTTACCTAGAAAGATTCAAATTTTTGGATTTTTATTCCACTTTCCCACTTTAAAAAGTATATTCTTTTTCCAAATATGGCTTAGCATAAATAATATTTTTATTTTATTTTACAAATTTTAGGGCTAATTTTTTCATTTGCAATTTTGCCATGAAACTCTAAGAGAATTCTCTTTTACACTAAGCCAGTCTTAAGGTTCAAAGAGACACTGTAGAAGAGGAGGTTTTAACAAAGCCATTTGCATCAACGTTATCATAAGCTAAAGTACAACTTTAGAAAAACCCTAATGATACCCTAATTCCTAATACCAAACCAACAAAATTTACAGAACAAGAAAAAACATTGGCAAATCTAAAAGCCGAACTACGAACAACGAAACGATGAAAACTACTTATTAAATTTTTCTTCTTTTAGCAGTAGAACATTACTCTCTTAACATTCTCCTTCAAAGCCGGTAAAGGCTTCACACCTGAGTCTCCCACAGTTGTAGTTTTCGTGTTCTTTTTTCCGGGTGATCCGTTGTCTTGCATTATCTCCGGTTCCATGTAGAAACGTGCTCGAAATGCTGCAAGATGCGCATAATACGCTGGAGGAACTGTACAAGAGCAAAAGATGAGTATGCAGATTTTCGTTTGATTCGGGTTTAATGAAGAAGAAGAAGAAATGTCGTTATTTACCTATCGAGACTGATCGAGTGCATCGTGCATAGGTATAACAGAGATTATTAGTCAAAGATTGAATACCATCAGCTGTGAAATTGTTCTCGTCCCAAAGAACATGGTAATGTGCAGGCCTGCTTGTTCCCTAAATCAGACAATAAACACGAAAACTTTCATTTTTTTCTGTGTAGTTAGAGAAAAAGGTCGTATTTTTGGACGTTTCAGTAGTTGTTTCGTACCTGAATACCCGCATGGCTACAAAGGTAGAAGTCGAATTCAGTTGGATGACATATTTTGGTGTCAACTACAGTACCTGAAATAAAAGGTGGCAAAGAAGCAGTTAGTTAGGTATTTCTGTATGATCTTCTTTCAACTGTTTTCAAGAACTAACCAGGTAAGATATTTCCGCTTCGGTCAGTACTGCTTTTGTCTCGGTGATTATTAGCAAACAAACGAGTGTGGTGACGCTTCTGTACAACAATGAATGTCACCGGTGGCTGATAATTCGGTTCAAGCGACGCACAAGCCTAAACAAACACAAACCCGTTTCCGAATAAATTATGTAAATGTTTTGCTAACATTTTAGAGGATTCAAATCAAGCTACTCACAGAAGTTATTACCTTTCGAATTGCATCCAACTCATAGAGTAAAACTTGATAGAATTGCCCTTCGCTTACTCCATCACTGTGCAAGTAAAACACCCATGAGAACAAATTATGGTTTTCACATACGAAGTCTTTTACTGAAATGAGCAAAGACAAACCTACCGGTAAAAGATAATTCGAAGCGGTTTCTGCCCTGTTGCTTTCCTAAATGAGATCAGAAGGTCCCTGTAGAAAGCAAACAAAAAACCTTGAGATACACCGATAAAATGAAACTACAGAAACCGAAATATTACGGTTTATTACCTGATCATACCGCCACTAACAGTACCGCGTACAGGATCTTGCCATGTTTTATACAAATCTTGTATAAGTTCTTGCCTGTGAGCTTGAGCACAAACTAAACCCGCATATTTTGTGACTTCAGGCCAGTCTTGAGAAGCAACAACCTAACACAAACAAAACCGAGTCAAATGAATTTCAGTGTACCACTACTTGATAAAAGTGTATGATTGAGTTTTTGTATAATCCTTACAGCAGCGATTGAAGGGCTTGACTCTTCCCCGTTCTCTGGGTGAGTCACGTCTGCGCCAAATATAATTGTCGGTATATCGCTAACCAGTGGAATTCTACAGCTTATGGCGTCTAAAAGAACTGTGTTCCTTCCTCCCATCTGAAAACAACATAGAAAGGTCCGAGATTCATAATACTAGAACAATCGAAAATATTTGATACAGCAGTAAAAAGTATTCACCTTGACATTGATTTTAAGGGATACATTTGCCAGATACTGTTTGCTAATCTTGAACACATGTTTTGTGAGACAACATTGAGATATCAAACCAAGCTCGGTTTCGCAGATTCTCTTAAGATCACCTGAGATTACAAGAACCATTTCGTTTTCATCATAACCATACTCAAAAGACAAAAAGAGTTAAGATGTATGGATGTCGAAATAATAGTAATAATACCATAAAGTGAACCGTTGTTATCAGGTAAAATTGCCAACAGAAGCTCTAACTCTCTGCCTTTGGTTTTGTTCATTGCAGTGTGATAAACATGCTTTAGAGCTTTCTCGACTTGATCGGGCCTCGCATTATATATTGGGATCACGGGTTCTGGATTGAACTCCTACAATAGTAAATAAAGAAAAGCTTTCTGATAAGAATCACTTCCAGTTAAAGAGATTTCAAACAATGCAGCAAGAAAAAAGGACGAATATTATTACCATGCCCGAGACTTCACACATCTGACCAAGTTCATTACAAAATGCACGAGCAACGTTTTCTTGAACGCTGCGTGAGAAGTTAACACAGGCCCATCTGCTCACCGTCATCCCATTGATCATTTTCTTGTTCATCATATTCCACTGACCGACTTGCGGGAGACAATCTTTTTCTTTCCCGTTCTCGTGATACTTAAGCTGAAGCAAGCCAAGAGAGACGAATTAGCATAACAGTATTATCTTAGTTTGAGACAATTCAGAGATTTGTTTAGTGTTTTACCCATGGAGCTGGAAGAATCCGAGCTTCAACAGAAGCTAACTTTTCGCTTATGTTCATGCCAAACTCCTTCGCATATGGATCTTGATCATATGCGTTGTGTTGGACCGTCTTTAAAACATTTTTTACACCAAGATTAGTCCTCACTTCTAACTGACAAAGAACCATAAAAGATACATGAGTATAAAATTACCCGCAAAATATCGTTTTCTCTGTCCCTTGGCCTTTGACATGTAACTTTCAAGAGAGCAGTAATCTGCTTCTCATTCAACCTTTTCGTGTATCGTTGTCCCTCAACAATTTTGCAGGCCTACATTCAAAATTGAATCAGCGAAAATAGCCAAGAATTGAAATGTGAAGTCTTGAAACAAACAAAAAACAACAGTTTACAGTTTACCTCCATTGGCAAATAGCTTGCTTTCTTTTGGTTTCCAACTTGGAGACACGGCAAATGCGTGTGCTGGATCGTGAATCCATACATCTCTTGGAAGTACTCAATAACCGACTTCATCGTACAGTTCTCATCAACTGGAAACCTAAGAATATAAACCAGAAAACTTGATTAATCTCAATAACACCAGCCTTGCCCTAGTGATCAGAGAGTAATTAAGAAGAAGAAAAATGATCACATTAGCTCTCTTGTAGGTTGAGTTGTTAAACCCGCAACACGGTATTTCCTCCTTACATTCGCTCTGTGAGTAACCTCTACTTTCACTCCTCTGAGACCCTTCTTAATCTGTTACAAATTCCCAAGAAAAAAACATTGTTGAGAGAACATTCAAGGACTCAAGACAATAGATAATACGATGAAGAAACTTATACCTTAACCCGATCAGAATCAGACAATGGCTTCGACAAGACATCCTTTCCAAGAAGCTGTGCTACAAACTCTATTACCGGAAGAGGCTCGATGAACGCAGCTGAAGCCATATCTACAAAGCAAGGAGAATAACATTAAGATTGGGCTGACATAAATAAGACCAAAACTGTAACAATCTCTCAAGTCAAATCTTTACCGATATTTAGTGATAAACCCATTTGAGTTGGTCTAATACTCTGGTAAAACCCACACCATGACTCTAACCCTTCACCGAGTCGCTGCGGTGTTCTAATATCAGGCGAAAAGAAAGATCTTCCAACCGGACAAAACCTCTTAACCGACAATTCCCTGAGTACAATGTCAAGAATCTGCACCGCCTCTTGCGGACAATCTGCCCGTTTACCAGCTAGAAACTCGCCTAAGTGATGCATATTTGCCCGTGCAACAAACTTAATAGCCACCTTATATGATCTCTCCCTTCTACAAAGCAAAATGTGTCAAATTCAAATAAAAAACACACAAAAACAAAAACCACCCCATTAGTTAAAAAACACTTACTTAGGTCCATTGATGATACCGTCATCTTCATCAACAATCTTAACAGTGAACTCCTTCCAAGTAAAAGGAAGTTCTCCGGCAGTGTAAAGACTTTTCCGGCCATCGTAAGCCGGAAGTCTCTTCCCGAGATCAGACTCTTTGTAAAGTCTAACTAACTCAGCAATTATAGCTCTGTTTACACTCTTTGATGACACTTCAGGAGTTATTGTAACCTGCAAAATAATTAACCAAATGTCAATGGACCCAAATAAGCAATAAGAACAACATTAAAACCTAACTCTCTCTCTCTCTCTCTCCTTCATTAAATTTTAAAGCTTTTTTCAGGAAATCGTCTAAAGTTTGAAGCTTTATTTCTCATTACAGCAAAAACTAAAAAAAAAAGCTTTACTTTTTCTAATGAAAACTCACATCATATTGATTCAAATCCTTGGTAGGCAAATCAGCGAGGAAATGATTAGCTTTAACGATGCATTTAGTTCCAAGTGTTCCAAATCCAGGTCTTGGCGCAAAGTTTGAGTTTTTACGAACACCCATCTGCATCTGATGACTCACGGCAACAATCTCACCGGCGGTGGAGGCTGAGACGACGGCGGAAGTGGTTTGACACGGCGGTGGTGGTTTACGAGGACGAGAGCTAGGTCTCATACAAACATCTCCT